ATAAATCAATCAATCAGTAATAAATCAATAAAATAATAATAATACAGTATAGAAGACTTAAGAAACCACATATAGTTGGTGAGTAGAATAATCTAATTATTATTCAGATTCAAATGTGTGTATTAACATTAACATTAAAGGACATGTTTGGGGCTGTGTAATATTTATAATTTTACTTGGTGTCACTTGGTGTAGATAACGTAATATCCGCTAGTACCAGATCGCATCGGCTCATGGTGCATATGACGTCGTGTTTGTGGTGCCCATTTAGCATTAAATAAAATAAATACAACATTTTAATAAAGTTTTAAAAGTTCGGCTCGTGGCTAGCATGGATATAATGCTAACACGGACTCACACACACAACTCGCGCGCGTGCGTACGGAATAGCGTTAGCTCCGTGTTAGCGTTAGCTAACAGCCCTCATTTTCCCCGGTCTTGTGTATGTAACGTCAGGTCTGGTGCTTCGGGAGCACGCCGCTCCGGTGACAGCCACACTGGCGTGTTGTTCACACGCGTCGTTTACACGTTTATTTAGGCTGGTGCTGAGCACCGTGGGCACGGTCAGAGTGCCGAGATAGTCCGTGTGCTCCGAAGCATTTGGCCCCCGGAATGAGACAGACCTAACTATTGAGCACGGACGTAGTGCTAACACATACAGCATCTATATCAAACTTGTGTTAACCCGATTTTTTTAGTTGGAAACCTGAGAATAAACCAGAGTAGATCAAAAGTACCAAAATAATATTTATTGGACACAGTTACAGTAATCATCGCTGGGCTGTCCCTCAGTGTTTCAGTTGACCAAGAGCCCTGAGATCTGGGCGTGATGGGAATTATCTCCTTATAGCCAAATTCTAACATCTGCGTGGGCCACACTAACATTTAAATTTCATATTAAATCGGGGGCCATAAACTGTCGTCCCGCGGGCCGCAGTTGGCCGGCGTGCCGCGAGTTTGAGTCCTACGCGGTAGAGCAAGAAAAATCTGATGTTATTCTGATACAAGGCTTGCTTGAATCCGTTACGAGTGGCGCTTTTTAGTGAGTGCTGTGCTGAAATCCTTATAGTGGCACCTTGGTATTTGAATTTGTGATTCCTGGAATCTGGAGGAGCAAACCAGGAACGTGCGGGGGAGGGGGATGATCTCCGACCGTCTCTGAAGGTCGGGATACGGTGGGCTCTCTCCAGCTCTGGCGGTGTAGAAAACACATTGGGGCCTATTACTTCCATCAGAACATCCTACATGAACTTTAGGGGATCTTTGCCGTCTTGACTGCGCTCTGGAATATTCAGGAGATTGGATCTCCGTGAGCGGTTCTCAAAGTCGTCGCACCGATCCAACAGTGACTGGGTTTGGCTCTGGAGTGTTTTGATGGTGGACTCGGCCACAGTTAGCTCAACGGTGGTGAGACGACTCTGGAATGAGGTCACTGTTATCTGGAGTGAGTCCAGTGAAACTTATATTGGTCTAATGGCGTCTTGATTCAGGCGGGAAACATCCTCCTTGAGTAATGTTCGCTGCTTAGCGAATTAAGCAGACAGTTGGTCCATAGCCACTGTTACACTTTGACTCTGTAAACGGATTAAATCAGACACACACGGGAGCATAGTTTTCCGTGGCTTTACTCCATATTAACTTGCGTAGATCAGAACCTTACAACACTGGTCAGGGGGATTAA